AACTCAAGCGCTAAGTTACGGCAGCCCCGCTGCACTTCAAACAACCAAAATGTCCGATTTCTGCCACTTACAGACTTTGGTTCGTGAAATGCGACCACAGTGCTGCAATCCTGCTGATCTTGAGAGAAGCTAAGCAGATGTGACCTACAACTTGACAAGAGAAACTTCATGGCAAGTAGCTTTTTGCTAGTCAACCTAAGATTTCATCGACAGCAACAGATATACAGCTTGTCATTATCTGATAGACGAAGGAAAACGATGTTGCTGTGCGTAATGATGAAGAGATCGTTTTAAACAAATATCACATCACGAGACGTACGTGTACTCTGAACTTGACAAAAACATACGTCGTATTTTTATGCCGTGAACTGAACGCTTATGTCTGTGTTAAATGCTGACAATAAGGAAACCCAGAGAGTGGTCATGCCCATCGGCATCAGTATGAAGTGAAGCACAGCCTGCAACAAAATTGAAAGCATCATGTACGACATAAATCGACAGGTTCGAGCCCAAGTTTGCCAATATCTTCCCCACTAAGCCTGAAAAATACTTCTTCTGCTGTATTTCAACATCATTTGACATTCTTTGTAAGATTTATTCGGGGGCTGGGCAATATCGGCATAGTTTACACCCAATTTTAGTCAGCCCGAGCCACTTTGGCAAGCTTCTTTGGAATAACCCATCGTTAATAATTGCGAAATCTACCTAATGGACGTTTAACATTCACAACCGTGAAGACTGCGCGGACATATAAGACAGATTCGAAAGCCATCCTATTGATGCGATTACGAGATTCTTTTATGTAACAAGTACTACCTATTTGTAAACGTAATGTATGTCCAACAAATAGAAGCTTGCTGAAATTGATATGTAATATACACAGTTTATTTATATATTCACTAAGCCATTGCAAGAGATTGACCGGCCACATGTACCACACCACTTTTTTCGAAGCACCTACGCTACAAATGTTTACCTTTTATTTTATAGGACTCCATGATGGGACAATATCATGGTAATTAATGAGCGCCATTGTTCAGTATCCACATAAACAATAACGCAATTACAACAATGTGTCATGAATGTCATGCTCTTTGCACAAACGAAAGTCTTCAGATCAACAATGTCGCGCAAATAACATAACACACCAAGAGGAACAAACTCACTCTACTTCGATACGGTTGTGAGAGTTTCTCAAGTATTTAAGAAAATTACTGCTGAATTTTAACTGTGATAAATCCTAAGAGCCAAATCAATTTTATTGAATTCTTTAGGCTATTCAATAACAGGTGCAGCGGGGCTGCCGTAGGCGCTTAAAGGAGGCGTAATTTAGGTCACCGACCTTTCGTTCTATACTTAGAGCAAAAACGAGTAAGCGGATCGCAATCCGCTTACTCCAAGAGTAATTATTGCCTAACTCAAGGCTAACAAACTCTTATGTTTATAATGTAAACTGTATTTATTTGTTTTATCTGCGGCAGAGCAGCCTAATTCTAAATATATAGATTTTCCTGAGTACACATAGTAAAATCTAAATACATGCATAACTACCGGCTACCCAGCCACGTACAGTATTTTTATTTGGGTGCAGTCACACCATGCCCATCTCGTGTGACACACACCCCTGTTACCAGAGTTCGTGTAACCCAGTTACATAAGGCAGAATTAGTTCTAGCTGTCCACATGTCCAACGGAATTTCTTTACGAAATACCGTAGTACCAATAGCTATACCCAAAAATGCTGTGTATATGTACCATTATATGGAATGAATCCTGTTTCATTGGATTTCTCAAATTCTACCCACTGCGCATGAAGTAAGTTACATTTTTAGATATAGGTCAAACAAATATTATTTCCGTAAAAAGTATTCTCCCAATTGTTTTCTCATGGATAATGGGAAGGGGTGATTTCGTGGCAGTTGACAACCTTCAAGCTATTACTGATACGAAACCTCTAGGTGTACTACAACAATTGAGATTGTTATGTCTTTCCAAGCCACCTCCATTCGTGCCAAGAAATACGGCTGTAATATTCGCAAAAAAGCGGTATTTCCACAATGCTTCTCCTCTGTACAAATCGTGCAGTCTGCACTCGTTTCCAATGGCGGTGCTTTGACACACTGCCGCGAAGCTCGCGACGCGATGAGCCTGACGACAATACGCTAAAACTGTATCAGTCTAATCTTGCAAGTTCGCCTGTGCGAAAGCGCGGTAGTGACAATCACGTCCAAATATTCACGTTTGCTTACGTTTGAACTATAAATATTATCCATCTGAAACTGCTCGCCGCAATGTGGCGATACCGTTACACACCAATGCATTCCGGCCTTCCAATCGAATCTAGAGCGAAACAAATGCTATTTTACCATTCGAATAACTCCTGTCGAGAAGGGCAGCACCAGTTTAAAGGGCAGCAGCAGTTGAATGATATCGTACTGTTTATAACAATGGCACCTTGGCTACTAAGGGCTGGCGAAGTGACAAAACGTATCACACACAACTTCATACACTGGTTGAGACATTCATAAAGCATCCTCTGGCATAAAGCCTACAACATCAGATATAGTAAGGAAGGTGTCCGACTCGAGCATCATTTAATGTTTGACTTTCTGAATAAAAACAAGACGAGGGCGGAGAAGTGGATGCGCATGACTTCAGGCTCTTGCTGTCGACAACTCCATAATACAGTGGTTTCATCTACCGACCGAATATCGATTTTGAGCAAGGTTCGGCGCGCTGCGCTGGAAATCCGATTAATTTTTAGGAGACAAACAAAAAATGCGTGACATAAACAACAACGGCACCAGAACAATTCTTTACATCTTGGACATCAGCTGACATTAGGTATTGAAGTGAGGGTATCCTTCCACTTCGTCCAGTGCTGAAAACAGTGCTGGTGAGCTCATAAACTTGATAGTTGATCCACTTTTAGGTGAGTCACTCACGTCATTTAGCAACGCCGGCGTGAAACAAAAGTTTCATGGTTGGCTCTCGTAAGACTTTCCAGGGTTAATACGAGCTCCCTCGGCTGAGCCATCGCACTATGAATATGGAAACCACCCCAGCAATTGATAATCGTCTCGCTGTTCTAGATCTATGGTGAATCAGATACAAGGAATTATCAAGATGCGGATTCGTCTTTAATAGGGCATTTTGCCGATAAATGGCTTGAAGAAACAAAATCGTGTTATGCTTGAAAAGGCAATGTTGAATACGGAAAGTCTTCGCAGGCTCTCCAGAGCGTATAATACCTTTTCTGACTAGAGCTGGGTGGTTCGATGTTGTATGGATTACTGAAGGTCATTGTCCCAGATCGAGGTCTGGGACAAACAGCAAATTCTGACAACATTTGGTCAGGGTGCTTGGTACCAATTTGCACGTGCCCTCGCTGACCATCCGCAGACATGTGATCAGTCTGGACGCGGGCTTATGTGTTATGAGATACTTATTACCTACAGAGATCGCGGTACAAAAAAATACCCACTCGTCACATTTGATTAAAAGAACGCAAAACCTGCCTCAACGGACTCTGTCCTACATTATAATAATGGTCTGGTCAATCTCCAAGCTCCTTTATCACTGCCTCGAAGTGGTCCCGGCCTTGGTGGAGAGTCTATCGAGACAATTTGACTTGCAGTTTTTCCAGCCTGGCTACATTTAGTAGCGAAATGGCAAGTTTTGTCTCAGCGTAATGTGCCATGGACACGACTGTATGGCTGAAGTCAGAATCTAAAAAGCAGCATGTATGCCTGTGACATACCAGCGCTGAAGAATATGTACTGTGTCAATAGTTTGGTCAAATATTGTACGTCTCTCTCACCACAGTCTGTAATATTAAGTAGAGGTCCCAACAAATCAAACTCTTGATTGATCGATGACAAAAGCATTAGGCCGCACATTAACATACTTCCTCTGTCCGAAAATATAAGCGGTGCTGCGGGGATTGACCAATATTAAGC